ATAAGTTTTTATCATTTAAACAATTGATACGTTTCAAAAATGTTTAGTTATGTATCATTTTTTCAATATTCATATAATATTTTACTATTTTTCAAATGAAAACTTCTATTAGTACTATTATTCTTAACATTCTCCGTTAAAATAATATTATTTTCTTCAAAAAAACATTTGTTTATTCATTTATTTTATATTACAATTTTTATATCACTTTGTTTTTATGTATATTTTTGACTCTTTTTTACTGTTACAATGATTATTTTCTATTATAGTATATACAATATGTTTATTAAATGGTTAAAATAACCGTGATAATGAAATTGTTAAAATGAGAAGAAAATAATTAACATAATTTGTGTAACTGGTATGATGATAACAATTATGATAATATTTATTTCTGATTCATTCTTCTATTATCAACATTTTATGTTATTAAATTCTTCTTACAATATATATTTTTATTGTTTGTGTTGTGTTTTCTCCAATGAATCTTTTTTAATGAGCATACATAAATATCAGTGAAAAAATAAATATGAGAAAGAAGGAAAAAGAAACTCATTAAATCAAAAGAAGAAGAAAAGTAGTACGAAAGGATGAAACTAATTCTCAATAGACATAAAAATTAAAATAGTTTTATTATCATAACTAACTAATTATTTTTGTTTAACTCTTTTTATACCTTTATTCTTTTAAATTTAATGATGTTATACTTATCTCTCAATTATGTCTTTGAAATGTCAAACCCCCAACTCAACCACGTTTTATTACATAACTTTATCATGCTTTTATCGATACACAACTCACCAATCATGCAAACTGAATTGTGTATGCCATGACACTTCAATGAATTTGCATTGCATGGTATTCTGATTTGTAACCCTCCATCTATTCCTAGAGCAGCAACAGGATCTCTATCAGGTATAACAGCCCTTGCAAGTACAGTGACATCCTTTTTCTTTAGTCCTAATCCTTTTGAACCCAAAAATGTCCCAGGAGGGGATATTCCAAAACTTGATAATCCATACTCTGTTCCAACTATATTCGCAATCCCTCCTCCAAGTGAATGACCAGTAACTACAAGAGGGATTCCATCTTTCATTTCTTCTTTCACTATTTTCTTTGCTGTTCCTAAGAGTGTTGGCTCATCTTTTTCGAATGCTTTTGTTCCAAAAAATGATAACCCATAACTTATTCTTGAAAGAGTCTGTTTTGTAAATACTGGAAATACTGTAACTGATATAGTTGGAAATGCAGATTCAGCAAACAATTGAATATCATAAAGACCATCACTTAATGAATTTGTTCCTTTAAAAGCAATCACTTTGACTTTATTCTGTTCCTTATCTGTTTTGTCTTCTTTACAAACTTTAGTTCCTATTATATAATATAGTCCATTTTTATTATGGTACTGAAAAGACCATCCTTTGTCTTTAAGGTATTGAGAAAGTAACTCATATTTATTTCTTTCGTTTTCATCATTTTCTTTATAAAAAACTAATTCATCATCTTTTTTTAAGAAATTTCCTTGATAATGTTTTTGTAATTTTATTACAGGTTTATTATATGCTAAATAACTAAAATAACCATACTCCGCTGGTGTAATGCCATATGGATCATTCGAGCATAAATGTGAATGACCACGAGTATTACTCGTTATTTTACTCGGTTGTTGGTAATAATATTCATCGAAGAAATAATCATATGAAATACCATCAATAAATCCATTTAATTCTTGTGCTAAATCAAAAGAAGGTTCATAATTTTTAATACCCTTTTTAGTATTATCTCCTTTGAATTTAGTTTTTATTTTCGGTAGAATAAAAACCATTCCAACAATCACAAAAATAGTGATAATTACAATAACTATCAGTACAATTAGAAGTATAATACTACTATTATAATCAAATCCAAACCATGAATCAGGTTCATCACTTACTTTCTTAAAATTCGTTTTTTCTTCTTTCCTATTTCTTAATTCTTTGATTACAGAAACTCCATTAGAAAGTATTGACAATAAAAATAATATGACATACAACAACAATTTATTTGAATCTTTCCATGTATCAATAATAGCCCATATATAAAATGCAAAAAATGCAACAAGTAGAATGATAGATATTAAAGTTATGATAATAACAAATATCCATTGACAAGTTGAGGATTTTGTATTATTACCAGAATTAGTTTTTGTGCAATAGTCACATATTATTGAATATATGCATCCCAAAATTGAATAGCATGGAATAAACTTTAAAAAGCAAAAGAAAAAAGTATATTCCTTATCATTAAAAGATGCTTTTTGAATGGCTTTACATTGTTGTATGCAGTCAAGTATAATCTTTAAAAAAAGGTCACTAATTGAATTAGTCCACCTGTTATCAAATAAGAAATCCCCATAGTTCCGAGGAAAGATGGTGTTCTATGTCCATTCTTTTTTCCATTAAAGATATAAACCATTTCTACGACTAAATATACGACTAGTCCAACAACAACACCAACAACAGCTATAATAATACCAATATTATGTATTATCATATGCCATTTATTTTCAGTTTCTTTATTCAAAATATCTTTGAACTGTTTAGAACAATTATCTTCGGGATTTATACTAGTACCAACTTTAATAAAATAGCTGAATGAAGAACTTATATAACTAACTGAAAATAAAATAAATCTATAAACAAGTAAAAACATTAGAGGAGATCCATAAATCAATAACACAATATTATATAGTTCACCAGATAAATAGAGCGTTGAACAAGTAAAAATAGCCCAGATTCCAAATAACATTACAGACACAAAATAGAGTGATTGGAATTGACAGAATAGAGAAATAACTGATATGATATTAAAGAAAACTCTAGGTAATAAACTTTTTTCTCTTTCAAAATTATTTTTGAGTATACTACAATAACCCATTTAGTAATTACACTTTCTAGGTGTCGTGAATATAACAACGGAGAGTTGCAAAAATATTCCATTATGTATATTTGGAATATATAATATTCTAAATTATTTTACATAATTTAATGACCTTTTTATACGTAAATATTCCTCATCTATTTGTTTATGAATATTTATACAAGGATGTAACTTTATAAACATTGTATATTTTTAGCTCAGTGCCAAACATCATTCATTATCCTGTTTATTCTATATTAAGTACTATAAAAATGTATTAGCTATTGGTTTATGAAAATTATTTTTTCTTCATAATAGTAAATGATAGTAAATGATATGTTTGTTTTATTTCCTTTAAAATGGTTATGTTAAAATTAAAAAATTGAGATTATAAAGTTAGTTTCTCATTTAGTATTAAATTCAAGTTTTAATTCACTTTTATTAATAAATCTCTGGTAATATATTGCATAATAAAGTTTATACCATTTCTTTTTCTCAATTTACACTTTTCTTATGTTGTCCTTATACAATTGATATTCTCTTTTTTGTTTGTTAGTTCTTTTATTAATCTTTCTTATTTTAATATTATTTTTGTTTAAAACTTCGTTATTTATTCATTCTTTGAATATATTATATTGTGTGTTATTTGAATTTGAATGTTTTAATTGATATAAAAATATTTCGTTAAATAATAATATTTTTGAATAACTAGTTTTGTATTACTCTATCTCAGAGTGCTTATTATTTTTTATTAGATATTGAAATAGTACTGTTTATTTATCAATTATTTAAATTCTTTTAAATCATTTTAATATAAAATAAATTGATAACTAAAGAAACTAAGAAGATAAAATAATAATAATAATACAAGAAAGAAATATAAACAAAAACGAAAAAAGCAAATAATAGAAAAAAGA